CATAAAAGGGCCCAGTCCTGGATGAGCACATGGAGAGTGGCCTGGGCAGAGGGGTCATGTGGTGGAGGGCTGGCCTGCAGGAAAGCAGAGGGGCAGAGGGGCCACAGGCAGTTCTGCCAGTCCTGTCAGGTGGACTTGAAGGAGCTGGCTCCCGTCATCCCAACAACCTGTGGTTCCAGCAGTGGGGCACCTCTCAGGACTCACTAGAGTGGGCTTGCATTTGATGGAGGTTTCAGACTCCACAATTGGTCACCTGAGCTGAAGTCCCTGCATCTCTTCTTGATGCTTTCCTTGGGTCTGGAACTTGGATCACAAAGAGGTGGAAGAAACCAACTCCCTTGAAAAGGGCCCTGTTCTTTCACTCAAGACAGTGGGTATGGGTCTTAATAGGTCCAATCCAAACATGTCACACCATCCCAAAATACATAATTCTATTCAATTTTCCCTGTGGTAGCGACCTGGGCAGAGAGATGTGGCTCCCTGAGGGTGAGGAAGGTAAATAAAAGAATCTTAATTTGTAACTAGCTGATGTTTAAAGTTCTAATTTTGTAGCTTTCCAGGCTGAGCACTATTTTGTGGTCTGAGATTGTCTGGGATGTGATTTGCTTGCCCAAGCCACCATCATTCACCTCAGCCTGCCTACATTTGGGATCTTTTGAAGTGCCGCTGCTCCAGGCCTGCCTTGCGCTGGCATTCTCCCAGTGAGTTTGCTCCACTGAGTTTAATCCACTGGAGTTTAATCCACCACAGTGCTGGTTTACAGTAATGGCTCTCCTCTCACCTGGGCCCAGCATGAGAGAAGGAAAATACCCAGCTGTGAAATCAGTGCATCAGTCAAAGCAGCTCAGTGGCTTCCTAACTGATTTTCACCAAGTCACAACCAGAAGGCAAGAAAAGTAATTTCTACATGCCGAATACCAACTGTTCTCATTTTTCAGTTCAATATTCCTGATACCAGGGGAGCATCCTTCATTCCTCTGACAAGTCAGTCTGTCATTCCTCTGCTTCTGACCCCTTTTAGGGCTTGACTTGGTCACTCCACAAATGAGGGACTGCAGGGGGCTATGCTTATGTATTCGTCCTACAGGGACTCTCGAAGTCCCAAACCGAAACATCAGCATCTGCCCATTTACTCAAGGGGGACTTTTCAGCTGAAATCTTTGGATTGATCTGTACCCGCCCACTTAGTCTGGCCACACTCTAAGCTCATCATTCCTGTCACCCATTGACAACATTACAAAATGTGATTTACCATCATCTGTGGTTATTAACAATGACTGAGCATCAGTGGGCTATCTTGGAGAGTTCTGGACCCAAATACAGTTTTCTTCTTCCCCAGCCTTGTCTTTTAACATCAAGTCCGTTTTGATCGGATGCCATGCAACAGAGGCACTCAGTACAGGTTAGCTGTGATCTTAGGTCAGGTTCCCTGGGAACAGGTATTGTTAGTGACTAGAAGCTTTATTGCCTACTGCTGCTCCTCTTTTGCTATAAGCCCTCCGGTAATGATACTGGCAAAGGCCCTGCATCAATCAAGAATCTACCAGAGAAACAGCACAGAACCAAAAAATATATATAAGAGATTTATTGCAAGGAATTCCTTATACGCTTGTGGGGGTTGGCTAGGTATGGTGCAGTGAATTACTTACTACTATGGCCCTTCTAGACATAGTCTTTGTGACTCCCAAACAATGATTGGGTGGGACTATGCAAGTAAGGTATTTGTGGCCCACCAAGGGGATTGGACACCTTGCTAATAATGCAAATAAGGTGCATGGAACCCTGTGGGGTGGGACCATGCAAAAAGGTAAATGGAACCCTAACAAGGGGATTGGTCAGTTTTGCCATCCCACTAGGCTTAAAAGAGAGCCAATCCCAGAGCAGGGGGGACCTGACTACCACCAAGAAGAGCCAGGGGTGGAGTGCATCCTTTGGACCTGGAATTCCTGCACTGAGACCTTCCTAGATCCAGGAAAGAGAGGAGCTGTAACACGGAAGACAGTGAGAGACGGTGGCGCGAGGACAGCAGGAATCAGGAGACAGGAATGAGATGGCTGTAATGGGGCTTCCTGGCTCACTGAGCTAGAAAGCTGAGCACCTTCAGGCACGAGGCTTACTGGTGGAGTTGGATCCCTCCGGGCACTTATCGGCCAAGCTAAAAGAGCTTTGTAACACTTGCCCAAACAGCGTAGAGGCTGGGCCAAGGGGCTAAGAGGTCAAGGGACCTGAAAGAGGTGTGCCTGCAGGCATGGCTGAGAAGCGGCTGTCCTGAGTGAAGAAATTGCATCCTGAGCATTCCTGAGTCTGAACTGTAACCTGTTACTTCCCTTATAAACCCCATAACTATGAGTAGGTCTCTGAGTTCTGCGTGGCCATTGGAATGAATTATAGAACCCAGCAGAGAAGTAGAGAGTGCTGTGGTAGGGCCAGTTGTTGTCAGAATTGGTAAAAAGGGAAGAGGGAGGACGCATTTCTGACCTCCGCCTTATAGGAATCAGCCTTGGACCCTTGACTTTGATTCTCCTTCCCCGTTGTGAAGTTGGAGGAGGTCAGATGCTGCCCCTGCCACGCCATTTTTATACTAGGTAAGTCTGAAATTTGTAGGGTAGGCCAGTCGCTCATCATTTAGTAGTCTGGTCTGAGCTTCTTTACTGGTAGCCAGGTTCCAAGAGAAGGAAGATGGAAGCTGCAGAGTGTCTTGAGACAGGCTCCAGAACTTCCACATCACTTCTGCCACATTCTGTTGGTCAAAGCAAGTCACAAGACTGGCCCAGGTTCAAGGGAGTGAAGAATGGCCACACCACCTACTGGGGGCTTGATGGGAGGAAGGGCAACTTCACACTACAAACGGGTGTGGACACAGGAGACACGGCTCATGTGGACCATATTATCAATTTACCATGGAGACCTTGAAAAGGAAGGTTATATTTAAATTGCAACAAACTAGTTCTGGTTACTTTGGTAGTGGTGGTGGGTTGTAGTTCCCATGAGAAAGGACTGTGCAATTTGCCTGGAATTTGGAGTGTCTCCACTGCAGGGCACTGGAATGAGCAATGGCTAATCTGTGAAGGAGGCTCCAGAATTTGGACTCAGTCAGAAATAGAGACACATAGGCTAATCATGTTGGAAGATCCAGCCAAAAGAACTGAAAATTCTGTATGAAATTGAATTCAGGCTGCTGCTGGAAAGGGATTAAATGAAGTAATGCACATATACTGCTTTAAAACAGGATTTTCAAACTATAGGTAGGACCCATTAGTGGGTCTTAAAATTAATTTAGTGGCTCGTGATCAGCATTTAAAAGACTAGAAAATATTCGAGTACATACATATAAAAGTTTTGATTCATTTATATATATAAGCTCATGTATATGTGTAAAAAAAAAAAAACTTAAAAAAAAAAAAAACCAAAAAACCTATTGCCATCGAGTTGATTCCAACTCATAGCGACCCTATAGGGCAGAGTATAACTGCCCTAGAGGGTTTCCAAGGAGCGGCTGGTGGATTCAGACTGCTGACCTCTTTGGTTAACAGCCGGCCTCTTAACCACTGCACCACCCAGGGATCCTGTATATGTATACTGTATAGCAAATAATTGGTAAAATAAATTTCTTACTATGGGTCATGGTCAAAAATGGGAAAACCACTGATCTGGCATATACAGGTCGGGAAAGGGAGTATCTAATCTGAACCCTGGAAGAAAGTATGTTAACATCAGTATCTTGTCGGAGACACAGGATGACAGAGAGTAATGGTAATTCTATGATATGGGTGGTTTTGTGCATTCTAAGAGGTTTCAAACAAAGGGAAACTAGAACAGTAAGATTTTTTTTCTATATGCTAAACTCCCTCATTGAAATCCTTAGAAGGAACAAAACTGGGTGGATCCTGAAAGCCTTGTGACAGAAACCAGTTTCTCTTCCAGCAGGCTACAGTAATAGCCCTGAAGGCAAGACTTTCCACAGGGACCACACTGTCTAATGTTATAAAACCAAAAACCAAACCCACTGCCTTCAAGTTGATTCTAACTCATAGTGACCCTACAGGACAGAGTAGACCTGCCCCATAGAGTTTCCAAGGAGCACCTGGGTGGATTCAAACTGCTGACCATTCGGTTAGTAGCCGTAGCTCTTAACCACTACACCACCAGGGTTGCCATCTGATATTAAAAAAAACAAAACACAAAACCCATTGCCGTCGAGTTGATTCAGACTTATAGCGACCCTACAGGACAGAGTAGAACTGCCCCATAGGGCTTCCAAGGAGTGCCTGGTGGATTCGAACCGCGAACTTTGGTTAACAGCAGCCCTCTTAACCACTACACCACCAGGGTTTCCCTTATCTCATGTTACAGTAGATAAGTATTTGTTTGTTGTCAGGTTTCTTCTACTGGAATGTAAGCTCAGTGAGGACAAGAACTCTGTCTTGTTTCCTGCTGAATCCCATGGCTGGAACAGCCCAGCACATATTAAGCACTCAGTAAACATTTGTAGAGTAAATGCTTGAGTGAACGTATGAATAAATACAAGCGGATGGGGCAGGGAAAAGAATCTCATCCCAAGTGCCATATTTTACATCCATTGCTTTTCACTGAATGTACTTTATAAACTGTTTCCATCTGTGCTTATTTTTCTTTCTAGCTGGTTCAGAACCCAATCCTGATCTTTTCCCCTAACACTGTTCTCCAGATATTTTCAGCTTTTTGCTCAGCTGGATAGAGTAGTGCTACTGAAACCAATCAGGCCCAAGACAAGCAGCACTGCAAGAAGGAAAGGAATCACTCTAACTTTGGTCAGCAGGCTTAAAAACATCATTCATAGAGGCTGGGCAGTGTTTCTGGGTAGAGGCAGCCCACAACCATTACCAGAGAAACAACTGATAGCAAATTGTTGCTCTTACAAAAAAAGACAGTTCATTAACAAGGAGACCTCAAAATGTTGTCAACGGAGGGTGAGGAAGAAATGCAGTGAAGAAAGAAAGACACACAATGGATATGGCTACTTTTTTTTTTTTTTTTTATACTTTGAACATTAGCATTAAGTTGGTTACCGTACACATCCAAAGGCCCAGCATCTCGGAAATCTCATGAAGTGGCACACCTTGTACCAGAGTCTCACAAGAATAAAATATACAATGCTACATTGAGTGGTTAAAAATACACAAAAAAGTAGTTTTAACAATCTATAAATTTTTTATACTTAAAATCATGATTGAGTTGAAATAAAAAAGTGCATTTCAATTGCTAGAAAAAAAATATTGATACTAGTTAACACAAGAAGGAAAATCAGTACATTGAGGGATCTGACAGGATGCTAGAAAAAGGTGACTCAGGGAAGCTAGGCAAAGTGGGCTAGTTTGGAGATTCAGGAGGCGAGCTCAGTTCCACTTCACTGCAACTCCCTGGGGCCAAGCATCTCTCCTCTCCCCAGTATCCTTCCCATCTTAAGAGACCCTGTGCTGTCACCTCCACAACCAAAAGACTCCTCTAAACTTCTTCGCAGCATGAGAGGTACCTGCCCTACACTGAGTCCAACCTGACCTTCAATTGTGTCTCTGCAGAGAGGTAGGAAAGGGATACTGCCCCATTCTGGACTTGACATAAGTACCGCAGCCGCATGGCCTTAATCCTTATGACCTAGCAGGCAGAACAGGGACCAAGCAGCTTCTGTTTTGTCAAACTCCTTTGGACAAATAATCAACATTCAACAACAAGCTTTGTAAACCTAATGCTAAACAATTTCTGGCAAGCAAACTGGATTTTCTTTTCTTTAAGAAATGAGGAAAAGTGCAAGTGATTTCAGTAATGTAGGGAACAACAAAAACAAACAAATCACACCTGACCACCTGCTACCTAGACCAATCACAGCTTCAGTTTTGATTTTTGTCACGTGTTGAAGTTATGAGCAGACACCACTATCTCCCTGTGTCTGGTATTGCTCAGGGTCAGACTTGGCTTGGGGAAAGAGGGCCAGGCAGAAATCAGTTAAAAAGGCCATTCCAGGTATAAATGCCTCCTGGCTCTACAGGTTAAAGATTTACTTCTGGTGTTTCCCCTCACAGTTGATTACTGACCTGCTTATTGTGAAGATGCTGCTGCAATGACACAAAATTCTCAAGTCAGAGAGCTGATTCTGCCAGAGAAGTGGCCCTAAGACAAGTAACTGACAGAGAGGAAGCACCAAACCGAATTTCCACCCAGAGGAGTGCCGGCTGCAGGGGACCTCCCACAGGTCAGGATGCAGAGTGTGACCTCGAGGACTTGCTCCCTGGTGTAAAAGATAATCCATTTGGAGAGAGAAGGCAAAGCATTTCCTCACTCATACTCCAAAGTTACCTGTCTCTCTCATCCTTCTCAGAGATGTGATGGTCTGTGGTTGGGGGGAGATTTGGAAGAAAGTAAGGAGAGGAGCCTTCCTGCTCTGGCACTTAGTACACGATGGATCCTCCATGGAAAGGTCCTGGCTTTTAATCTCCAGGCACCGTTATTTAAACTTGCTATTAAGATGCCTGACCCACTTTATGAATCCAAGGCACTCTGGGCCCTCACATCAATCTCTGCTGTGGGCTGGGCAATGACTAGACTTAGTTATGTGGGGAAATTCCTTAAAAATCAAGATATATAAATATAAATTTAAGCATTGAGCTGAGAGAGGATATCCTATAAAAGATTTAAAAGTGGGATCTTTCTTCAAGAGGTTGAGCATAAAGAAGCTACAGTACTTTATTGCTCCCTTGTGGACAAAGCCAGTACTGCTAATGAAAGAGAATCATACAGCCCATGTCAAGAAATAAATAAAACACATATTCAAACTTACCATGGGAAATTGAGAAAATTCATCAGATTTTCAGAGGCTGGGGATACAACTTTAGAAGTAAACATCAAAATTATGCCACAGTTTCTTTCCTTTTAAACCTAGTAATCTAGTTGAATAATCAAGCATAGAAAAAATTATCTCTAGAAGGGTTGGTTAGAGGTTCTAGGAGAATAAACTACTTCCCACCAACTTGAAAATGCAATCAAGCACAGTCTTGAGTCCTGTGCAGAAAGTGAGCTGGAGTCTGTCCTTTTGATCACATGATCTCTTTTCACCTGTAAAAACAGGTAGGTAGGAAGCTGTGTTCATTTAGAGGAGCTAGGTATTCATAAACAATTGGATTCTTTGGCACATCCAGTACAGAGACAGGCTCTTCAGTTGATCAAACAACTAGCATTGCAAGTTATCCAATTTCCTTTTGAAGTTAAGCAAAATTCAGCTTCTACCCATTCTTGTCCCATCCCCATTTCCTATACTCTCCAAAGTCCCTTTCAAATAATTTGTAATATCCCTGACCTCACCAGAGATGCTAAAGTTGCTAGTGTGAAAGTAACCCGGAAGTAGAAAGCTGTGGGGACATTTCTCAGGGGGTAAGGATCCTATTTGATACTTGTACCAAAGGTTTTCTATTGAAGACATAAAACAAGTCAACAGTCTGTCTCAAAGGATGCGACTCTGAACGTGAACCAAGTATGGCTCTCCACTGTTTTATTGCCCGGGACTCTGAAGGGAAAAGCCACGAATTTTAAAGTAGATATTGTAGGTAGGCCAGCTACTACCTGAAAGAGATCAATTTCTAGGCCATTAATGGGGGCAAATCAAGGCAAATTAAAGCGAAAAGTATTTTAAAAACAAGAAACCTTTGTTACTTATTTCTGTAACACAGACATCTATCTTCTGCATTTTGTAAACTAGTCTTCCCAAACAGCCAATTAAGCCTTCAAATGTGTTGAATTTATTCATTATCAAACATAACCAATTCTCACAATTTTGCACTGTCCGACCAAAAACAATCACAAGACCAAAAGATTACGAATTTACTGACAGCTGCCTTCTTAGACTCCTACCCTCATGTGGTTAGTTAGTCTTGAAAACCTGAGTATTACTAGCTTTAAGAAAAGAGGCATGAGATTTTAAGTCACAAAGAAAAGATTTTGACTAAGGCCAAAATACTCAATAGCATTCTTTCATTCACTTCAACAAACAAACAAACAAACAAACAAACAGCACCAGAACAACATAATCGAATTTCTTCATTTTAAAGAGTTTCATTTGTTTTCGGTTTTGGAGGAGAACCGAAAAGGAGCGAGAGACTGGTTACACAGCACAAATTCAATTTTGGTTGTGAAAGACGAGCCAACTACTAAAATGTTTTCTCAATAAGATGCTCGTACCACATGGAGAACACACTGCAATCCTCTTTTTATTACATCCTTCACATATTATACCAATCATACTTTTAAAATTAATTAGATGAGAAAAACTAGACAATAAAGTAACTGGAGGTTTTTGAGGGAAATGGGGATGAGAGAGACAGATCAAGAATCAATAAAGGACTTTTGATAAAAACAGCAATTCTGAAATAAAATTCTGGGTACAACCTTACAAAATGTTCTTGGGGAGAGAAACCACGTAGGAACAGGGCATAGCAACAGCAGCAGTCGGGATCCCTTGGTCAGAAAGGGGAGGCATTTAGGAAGACTTAAGGTGAGAAAAAGATGTCCAGAAGAGATACTCGCTGACCTTTCATTTTAAAGTAACGTCTAGTTTCTGGCAAAAGAAAAGAAAGTGAAGAGTAAGATAAGGATAAAATCTTTTATCACTAGAGATGTAACATGTAAAGAAATAAAATACAAATAAAAGTTAAAAATGTAATCTAAATGACATGGGAGAACAAGACAAATACGTTCAAAATTATCATCCAAGGTTTTATAGCTAGTTTGTAGAGCTAAACCAATTGGAATAAGGGAGGATTCCGATACTCATGGAGAATGAAGTAATCAGAGGTAGGATTTAGACCAGGAAAAGAATGTTCCAGGATGCTGGCTGTTTGAAGGCACTCAAGAACAGAGTTAGAGAGACTGATGCTGCAGTGAGAAAACAGAGGATTAGAAGAGACATGTATACTCATCTGCCATAAAGAAATAAAAACAACTTCAGGAACATTGTGACAATACATATATTATTGAGTAATACGTAGAGTAACAAGGTAGAAATCCACTTTATAAGTAGTTTCTTACAACAATGTAGCTTCTACATAGGAAACAAGAGAAGTTTGTTTTCCCGATATGCAACTTTGCAAAATAGTTTTGACTTAAATGGAGAATTGTTGATAAACGGTACGTTATCTTTAAAGTTGGGACAACCAAGGAGTTTCATTTTCCTTTGAATCTTGCGAAGCTTATCCTCTAAGACAAAAAGATCTGATCATAAAGTCTATAAAAAGTCTACAGAGTATAAAAGTACAGAACGGTAAAGTGGATATATTGATGGCAAATTTATGGCTTCCATAGAAAATGTAGAGAGGATCTCTGGTTTGCTTTATCGAGGTAGTGTTCAGGGTTGAAAGGTCATCATTAGTTATTATAAATGCTACAGATAACAGAAGCAGGCTAGTTATGGTGCTGTTATTGCATAATAATGCCACTATCTCTAATGGCTTCTGACCTTTCGTTCCTGAAAAAAAATGATCTTTTCAGAAATTTCCTATCTTGGTTTAGACAAAGGAAAATTAAAACCCAATATTTACTTGTTCGATTTTATAGGCAGAAGAATTAATCTGAGTTAATTTTTTAATGGTAGATAGCTGATAAAATTTTAAAATGTAACTTATCCCCTTTTTCATTAAATACTTCCCATACGGTCTAGAACAGCATCAAAATGATCATCATGTGGATCAGCAATGCAATAAAAGTTGTCTTTTCTATATAGCAGCTCAAACAGAAGGGCTTCTCTAATTTTAGCTTTTTTTTCCTAACATTAAAACCCACCTACCATTCTGTGTTTTACTAACCGAAATCTGCAAGATGGAATAAATATATATACATCTGCAATGGATTTCTATCTCTGCTTCATCTTATCAAAATGTAAAACTTCTAGTGAAATCAAAATAAAACTAGACATACATATCCTTTCAACGAACATAAACACTGAAAAAATTTTCAAGAAGTAGGAAATTCAAAGTTTACAAGCATCTCTTCAGAGCATTTTGCCTTCAGTTAGTACACTAAGGGATAATCAAATTATAGAGAGAGTTCTACCACAATAAAAGGTACTTCCAGCAAGTGTAGCTTTAGAAGGATGGTACAACTATGGTAACGTCCATGCTCAGTCATTAATTTAAAACAGTTCATGTAAATGGTAGATAAGAAAAGTATAAGTAACTGATTTGCAAATGTTTCTCTGAACTATAGTTACGTTTTATGTGGAAACCTCCCCTGCTTGCTAAAAATAAGAATTAAATCACAAATGTATGTGGAAATGAAGTCACATTTAAACTGTTCATCTTTTCTTTATTTACATTTTAAAATCTAACTCAGTATAAGCCTACCTGACACAATTTGATAAAGCAGTAGCCTTTCATTAAGGCTAAGGAAGAGTTTATATTTGAATGATAAATCTATGAGAAAAGAATGAAGAAATGCAAAGACACAAAAATGCAATATCAACTCAAAAAAGTCTTTGTGAATTTTCCTCAAATAGTTCTTACTCCTAGCAATGATACAAGCCTTTGAAGACAGTAAAATTAAGTAATGAGAGACAGCCTCAATTGATATCAATATAATGCTGAAATGTGGCCTTTGCTGTCTTTAAAAGACTTATGTAAGTACAGATAAAGGCTGAGAACTCAAACTCCTCCATAGGTCTTTTATTCACAAACAGAGAGCAAGTAGGTAATAAGTTTTGAAGAATTCACAGGATGCTGTAGTATATGTGGGAAGGTATACGCCATGTAATGCAACTTTTATCTCTGTAAAGGACCCCAACCAAATTTTCAACCCTGAGTTTGAGTTTTGAGCATGTAAAACCTGATAATATATATGTTTAAGGCTTAGTCTTGTAGTTCTTATATTCAGAAGCATTAATGTCATGAATATTCTTAATGCATTTCATTATTCATATTTAAAATGACACTGATACGGAGTCATAGAGTTCTGAGCAGTTTTCCTGAAGACCACAAGTCGTAAGTCAGGGGTGAAAAAACTAGATGTTCACAGACTGTTCCACAATACGTTTCACTAAGAATTATACTGTGTGACAATGCTGATTTTTTTTTTTAAATCTTTTTTGCTTCTGTTAAGGATGGTGGTGATTATTTGCTTAATACTTTTGTTTTCCTATGTAGCAGATATTTTCTTATGGCTATATTCACTTGAATGTAAAAATCAAAGATGACTACCTGAATTTTCCAGTGTATAATTACAGCACACCTCATTAAATAGTTGATTCAGTGGTCTCAAGTCTAGAATTCAGAACTGCTGCCTAATACTGTAAATTTATTTAGAACAAAATAAGGTATAACCAATTAACTCAGCTACAATTTACATCTTTTTTTCCCAAAATCATTTTAATATAACAAGATTGACCATGAAATAGTGATATGTCCACGTAAAAATGGAGATTCACAAACTGGTCATGGAATGCAAAGGAGACTGGGGGGAGGGGCAGTAGCTACTAAAGATATAACAGTCATAAGCAAGGAATTTTCCTTGCTGGCTTGGGTACCTGGATATACCCAGGTATACCAAATATTAAAAATAACATTCTTTAAAACTGACATCCAAAAACAGGAAGAAAGTGTGTCTGAGGTACTTTTCTGCCTCATTCCAAAATTTTACTATGTTCATTATAGAAGACAAAGGCAATAATCAGAAGGAAGAAATTTGGAAACAGTAAACCAAAATGCTAATAGAGAATGTGATATTTTTAAAATAGTGACTGAACCTCAAATGAAAGAGTTCCATTTTCTTTCTTACCAAAGAACTAATCAGCCAGAAAAGTGCTTGAAGGATATCTGCACATTTAATATTAAAAATTAAAACAAAAATAAATAAAAGCCAGGATTCTGATTCAGGCAATGATTTAAGAGCCTGTGGAAAAAAGGAGAAATGAAGAATTTGAAGCTAAAAAATGAAGAGAGAGATCTAGCCTTAAGTGTTAGCTGTATTGCGTCAGGTCTGGATACATTTGATCAGTTACATATAACCAGTGTGTGAGCCCTTCTGTTCAGCCTTTCCTATAATCAGTTGCTGTTGACCACTCTCTTTTGAAGTTCCCCAAATTTGAAAACTTAACCTGCCTAACAGTATTAGAGCGGCTGCTGTCCTTATCAGCTATGAACGATGGGATCACATAATTATTTGCAGAAGACAGAGCAGCAAAACTTTAGGAGTTTTCCCTCACTACTATTTAAACTGTCTTAGTATAGCTCAAAGTTGTGGACATATCCAGTGATATAACTGATATTTTAAAACTCGTGTCCAATTTGTGTTCTCACCCAATTTCTCTTCAGTCAGTATCAGCAATGTTATGTTTGTGATTTCAGTTTACTATTTTATCTTCTCATAACAATTCTAAAAACACAAAGCAACCTCAAAATGAGCAGTGTATTATGAGACTTAATTTGTCATCCCATAGAAGTTAAACATGAACACAGTTCCAAAGGGAAGTGAGCAATAGATGTGACTGAAATGAAACAATCTCCACTACTTCCTCCTCTTGATGGCGTACAGCTTTACTCGGATTTTCAAAACATGCAAGCTCTTAGGTGACTTCCCTGGCACAAGGCCCAACCCTCTGCAAGTCATTTCATTTCATGCACAAACTGAACTAAATGAAACACGAAGGACAGGAGCATGTCAGTGAGTCTAACAGCCATTTGAGTATTAAGTAGAGAATCAAAACTACCAAGAACTTATGCCACGTTCTGAAAGCAAAACCTCATTTTTATAATAACCTGGTCTGGAGACCCTCTCAGATACATCTAGTCTCTGAAGCACCTTTGAGTTGTACGGATGTAAGAATAATTTTGAACTATAGAAGTTATATGTATCTTTAAGAATCACATTTTGATGATTATAAAAATTTTTTTCTATTTTACAACATAGGTCCAGCTACACTGAAAAAATTACACCGCTTATTGAAATACATTTCCATTTTAGAAACAGGCTACTAAAGAAGTCTATACAAAAACTCTAAAATAATTTCTGTAGTAAAATAAAGAGTGCGTTAGGAGAGCTACACAAAGAAGACAATTTCCGTCTTTCTCTATAATGCTTGATATACTGTGATACGTGGCCAGCTCAACACTGTAGCCAGCACCAAAAGCTGAAAAGAATTCGTTACGATACACAGTGATACAATTAATGCTCTGGATTAATCTCACAGCCTTCCCGATTAGTACAAAGGAAACCAGGCCTACCCCCTCTTTGAGGAGAAGTCCAGGATATAAAAGCAAGCATACCTCATCGGCTGATATGAAATTATAAAATTTCATGAGTCTGAGTATTTGAAATACATAAAAGTCACCAGAAAATGCAAGCAAATTGGACTTTAGTTCGGTGGTTCCACTGGTTTAGATGACGGTTCCCTCTGTGAGCACCAGGTCGTCTTCTGGTTCATTTACTTGGATCTGTTGATTCACCAAGACAATGACAAAGCTCTTGGTGAGGGCTGAGGAGAGTCTGACAGCTACAGAAGTGCTCACCGACTCTCTCCCTGCAACTCACATATGGGAACTTAATTCCTGGAGACCACACTTAAGGAGACGACTGTTAATGATGCTGTGCTGAACTGTTCTTCTCCGCCAGGTGCCGCAGAAAGCTGTCCTCACTCTGGCCTCTATGATTTAAAGGCTCGCTCTTAAAGAGAGCTGGAGGTGGGGGGAGGTGAGGGACTGGAGGGATAGGAAGGTGGTGCGGGTGGTGAGGGTGTGGGTGGATGTGAAGGTGTGAGAAGGGGTGGGGGATGGGCCGAGGGGGAAGAGTGCTTACAGGATTCATATTGATCGGAGGGGTTGGGGTTGTGGGTGTGTTCACCACAGAAGGAACTGGGGTGGCCGGGGAAGTTGTAAGTGGGATCTGGACAGCAGGCGGCACATTCACGGGGCTGGTCACCCGAAAGCACTTCTCCTTGTGGGCCTTAAGCATGTTGGAGAAGCGAAACCGCTGGCCACACACATCACATGGATAGGGCTTCTCGCCTGTGTGAGTTCTGCGGTGCCTCTTCATGTTGGGGCGGCTGGTGAAGCTTTTGCCACAGATTTCACAGATAAAGGGTTTCTCTCCTGAGGTGAACACAGACACACACAAAAAAGGATTAACATACCAGGCAGTAATTATGTGCTCATGGTATTCCTCATATTAAAAAAGGAGATTACCACTCATGTCCCTTATTGCATATTATATTCTAACAGTCATACAGAAGTCCCCCAAATTTGGGACTTAACCAAATCAGAGTAGATATGAGTAATACTCATATACAACCTACCATCTGGGTTTGGCTTAAAAAAAAAAAAAAAAGCAGTATTTACAAGCAGTGATCCTTCACTTTCTACATAAATACTTGTTCAAATGGCTTTCCTGTAACTAACATCACAGATGAATTCTTCATTTGAGTTTAGCCAAGTTAATCTGTAAGCAATTTCTGACATTCCAACCAAAAGTAAGACTTCATTGGAAATATCCTGTGGAGCAAATCTGTCTCTTCATGTCTTGTTGTTGTTAGGTGCCACAGAGTTGGTTCCCACTCAGAGCAACCCTATGTATGACAGAAGCAAACACTGCCCGGTCCCGTGCCATCCTCACAATCATTGCTATGCTTGAGCTCATTGTTGCAGCCACTGTGTCAATCAGTGTCGTTGAGGGTCTTCCTCTTTTTCACTGACCCTCTATTTAACAAGCATGATATCCTTCTCCGGGGACTGGTTCCTCCTGATAACATGTTCAAAGTATGTGAGATGAAGTCTTGCCATGCTGGCTTCTAAGGAGCATTCTGCCTGTACTTCTTCCAATATAGATTTGTTTGTTCTTCTGGTAGTCCATGGTGTATTCAATATTCTTCACCAACACCATAACTCAAAGGTGTCACTTTTTCTTTGGTCTTCCTTATTCATTGTCCAGCTTTCGCATATATATGAGGTGACTGAAAATACCATGACTTGGGTCAGGTGCACCTTAATCCTCAAATTGCTTTTTAACACTTTAAAGAGGTCTTTTGCAGCAGATCTGTCCACTGCAATACATTGTTTGATTTTTTCACTGCTGCTTCCATGGGCGTTGACTGTGGAGCCAAGTAAACTGAAATCCTTGATGACTTCAATATTTTCTCCTTTTATCATGATGTTGCTTACTGGTCCAGTTGTGAAGATTTTTGACTTCTTTATGTTGAGGTGTAATCCACACTGAAGGCTATAGTCTTTGATCTTCATCAGTAAGTGCTTCAAGTCCTCTTCACTTTCAGCAAGCAAGGCTGTGTCACCTGCATATCGCAGGTTGTTAATGAGTCTTCCTCCAATCCTGATGCTGCATTCTTTTTCATATAGTCCAAGTTCTCAGGTTATTTGCTCAGCATACAGACGGAATAAGTATAATGAAAGTATACAATCCTGACACACACCTTTCCTGATTTTCAATCACACAGTATCCCCTTGTTCTGTTCGAACGACCGCCTCTTGGTCTATGTACAGGTTCCACATGAGCACAATTAAGACTTCTGGAAGTCCCTTTCTTTCAATGTTATCCGTAATTTGTTATGATTCACACAGTCAAATGCCTTTGCATAGTCAATAAAACACAGGTAAACATCTTTCTGGTATTCTCTGTTTTCAGCCAAGATCCATCTGACATCAGCAATGATATCCCTCATTCCACATCCTCTTCTGAATACAGCTTGAATTTCTGGCAGTTCCCTGTCGATGTACTGCTGCAATCACTTTTGAATGATCTTCAGCAAAATTTGACTTGTGTGTGATATTAATGATACTGTTCAATAACTTCTGCACTCTGCTGGATTACCTTTCTTTGGAATGAGCACAAATATGGATCTCTTCCAGTTGGTTGGCCAGGTAGCTGTAGCTGTCTTCCAAATTTCTTGACAAAGACGAGCGAGCACCTCCAGCTCTGCATCTGTTTGTTGAAACATCTCAGTTGGTATTCCGTCAATTCCTGAAGCCTTGTTTTTCACCAATGCCTTCAGTGCAGCTTGGACTTTTTCCTTCAGTACCATCGGTTCTTGATCATATACTAACCTCCTGAAATGGCTGAACATCGACCAATTCTTTTTGGTCCAGTGACTCTGTGTATTCCTTCCATCTTCTTTTGATGCTTCCTGTGTCATTCAGCATTTGCCCTGTAGAGTCCTTCAATATTGCAACTTGAGGCTTGAATTTTGTCTTCAATTCTTTCAGCTTAAGAAATGCCAAGCATGCTCTTCTCTTTTGGTTTTCTAACTCCAGGTCTTTGCACATTTCATTATAATACTTTACTATGTCTTCTCTAGCTGCCCTTTGAAATCTTCTGTTCAGCTCTTTTACTTCACCATTTCTTCCTCTCGCTTTAGCTACTCGATGTTCAAGAGCAAGTTTCAGAGTCTCTTCTGACATCCACTTTGGTCATTTCTTTCTTTCCTGTCTTTTTAATGACCTTTTGCTTTTTTTATGTATGCCATTCCACAAGTCATTTGATCTTTGGTCATTAGTGTTTAATGTATCAAATCTATTCTCAAGATGGTCTCTAAATTCAGATGGGATATAATCAAGGTTGTACTTTGGCTCTTACAGATTTGTTTTCATTTTCTTCAGTTTCAGCTTGAACTTGCATATGAGCAATTGATGGTCTGTTCCACAGTCGGCCCCTGGCCTTGTTCTGACTGACGATATTGAGCTTTTCCATCGTCTCTTTCCACAGATGTAGTCAATTCGATTCCTGTGTATTCTATTTGGTGAGGCCCATGTGTATAGTTGCTGTTTATGTTGCTGAAAAAAGGTATTTGCTGTGAAGAAGTCATTGGTCTTGCAAAATTCTATCATGCGATCTCCAGCGTCGTTTCTATCACCAAGGCCATATTTTCCAACAACTAATCCTTCTTCGTTTCCAACTTTCGCATTCCAATCACAAGTAATTATCGATGCATCTTTATTGCACGTTTGATCAATTTCAGACTGCAGAAGTTGGTAAAAATCTTCAAGTTTCTTCATCTCTGGCCTTAGTGTTTGCTGCGTAAATTTGAATAATAGTCGTATTAACTGGTTTTCCTTGTAGGTGTATGGACACTATCCTATCACTAACAGTGTTGTATTTCAGGATGGATCCTGAAATGATCGGAAGTAGACCACCATGTCCTTCTTCTTAGTCTGTCTTACTCTGGGAGCTCCGCTGAGACCTGTCCAGCCAACCTGGACAGTGGCCCTGCTGGTATTTGAAATACCAGTGGCATAGCTTCCAGCATCACAGCAACACGCAAGCCGCCACTGTATGATAACCTGACAGATGAATGGTGATCTTTGTGTCTACTCATAGATAATCCTTAATACATACCTTACTTTTTGGTTTTGGGACTTGGAAAACACCACTCCTGTAAAGATTACAGCCTAGTGAACACCATAGGGCAGTTCTACTCTGTCATATAGGGTCGCTATAGTCAGAATCCACTTGAAGGCACACAACAACAGCAATAAATCTCTATAGCAGCAGATGCCAGGTCTTTTCTCCCATGGAGCCACTGGATGGGTTCAAATCACCAACTTTTTGGTTAGCAGCCAAGTGCTTAACCATTGCACCACCAGGGCTCCTTAACCACTAGCACTACGATATCTTTCTATTTCCCATTATTCAATCACTGCCACTGCTAGGCTCTCTCTGTCATTCATATTCAACTTTCTAGATAAATTCTGAGCCTAGGCTGTTTTCCTTCCTTTTCACCCTCCTCCAATCATCTTGAAAACTTCAAATTCTATGTTAAATTCATTAAATAAATTATGGTACATCCACTTGAGAGAGAATGCCATTGAAAACAATGTTTTAAGTACAGAAATTTAACTATTAACGTGAAAATATATATTAAGTAAAACAAGCAAGTTATGAAAATGTATACATAGTTTTATCTACTTTTTTTCCCAGCGTGTCAAAAAGAAACTTTATTACTTTTTATAATAGCTTCTTAGTATTATCTACTTTTAAGGAAAAAATATGCATAGAAAAAAATATGGAAAGAAATACAACAAATGTTACTAGCAACTATCTCTAGGTAATGGGACTATAGGTGACGTTTTACTTTATTTTTCATGCTTATTTATATTTTCTGGTTTTCTAAAATAAACATTATTTACTTGTATAACAAAATGTTTTAAAAAGAATACCTATTTGATAACCTATCAAAGCTCTTGACCTACCTTCTCCTTGACTCTCCAGATTTATTATTCTTCACTCCCAACAGCCACATGGAAACAGAGTAATACCCAGAGTGAATGACCTAATCTTTGAATTATTACAGTCTAGTATGAGCAAACCTCTCCACTGGATTCACTAATCACTTCTTAGGTATACCACTTTATTCGCACACATCATATATTCAGTGAAAGCTTGCTGAATGTATGACATTTATCCTTCCGTTGTGTGCTCAAACACCAATCCTGGATCTCTCTAATCATCTTTCTTTTGTAGTCTTCTAAGCTATAGTGATTTGCCACAGAAAAACCAAAAACTATTAGAACTGGTCCACCACAAATCCATGGATTCAAATTAAAATAGTCCCTTTTACTGCTTAATAATCTTTTATTTATTCTTGATGTCCTACCAAATTTTTCACATGTGGTTGTTCCAGACCTTTAACTGACATAAACCCACAATTGCACCCAACTCTAACATTACTCAGAGTAGACGGCCCCATCTCTTACTGTGCTGATGTTAAGGTTCTCCTGAAACCTCAAGGTAAGATTACACTGAGGCTGAAATAAAGAAGTATCAAAATATCACAGTGAAAATCAACCACCTGTACAATGTTCCACTTTAAGGAAGAGCTGATAAATGGGCGGCTGGAAGCTCTAGTAGCAGCTAAGTCCACTGAGGTAACTAGAAAACTAAATCAATACATCTAAAGATATAACCTATTACATACAGATAAAGCCAACCTAACTGTAAGAAACAGTATTATAACGAGTCTTAAGAACGATCATTATAAATGAAGACAGAAAATCTGCAGGGAAGACAGAAAAAAGCAAGAATCTGGCTAGTTGTCTCTTACACTGTTCAAAGGAAAGGGCCATCTGGCCAATAAACACAAGCATTCCACTCTGCTTACTTTGAGTATTCTTGAGTGGCATCAAAGATCCACATCTATATAGCTAGCCTAAATCTCTCTCTTCAGCTTCAAACGCATTTTTCAAACTGTCCACTGGACATCTCCACTTGAATGGCCCATAAGCTGTTGTTGTCGAGTTGATTCCAACTCATAGCAAACCTACAGGACAGAGTAGAACTGCCCAATAGGGTTTCCAAGGAGTGGCTGGTGGATTCGAACTGCTGACCTTTTGGTTAACAGCCTAGCTCTTAACCACTGTGTTACCAGGGCTCCTGAATAGCCCATAGATACCTGAAAATTAACAAGGCAAAATCAGACACATCATCCTACCTAGCAAACCTGCTCCTCTTGCCACTATTTTCTATCTTGACAAATAGTATCCAGGCCCCAAGTCTGAGACTAATCCTTGACTTGTCCCCTCCACACCACTCATATCCAATCAATCACCAAGTTCATCTGACTCAACGTTGCTTATCTCTTTAATTTTACCCACTGCTACTACCAGATCATCTGGATTACTGCAATATCCACCTGACTGTTTTACAATCTCTATTTTTGCTCCAGAAGTCCCTGGGTGGTGCAAATGGTTAATGTGCTCGGCTGCTAACTGAAATGCTGGAGATTTGAGTCCACCCAGAGGTGCGTTGGAAGAAAGGTCTGGTGATCTACTTCCAAAAAATCAGCCATTGAAAACCCTATGGTGCTCAGTTCTACTCTGACACACATGAGGCTGCCATGAGTTGGAGCCAACTCAATTACAACTGCTTTGGTTTTTATTCTTACTCCACACCCTCCAATCTATTCTCCACACTGTAGACAGAGTGGTCTTTCAAACACCAAAGAAGATGAAAGAAGACATGTGACAAACATTTACCAATCACCTACTATGTGCCAAGCACTGTGTGTGAATTTGACACAATTTCTGCCTTCAAAAAACTCATCTTCTGTCTAGCCCCATACTTTCCTGCCGAATAACAAAAAAAAAAAAAAAAAAGACTCCTTAGTGACTCAGTTACAATTAAAAGCCTATCCAAGAACCATCAAAATAAAAGAAGAGAGTCTCTCAAATACTCTGATATATCCTGCTATATCCACTTAGGTTATGGCTTCAAAATTAACATTATTTTTTGAGGTTTAACTGATTAAGCTCCTCTTATAACTTCTCATCTAGCCTAATCCTTAAAAACCTGAGGGGACTCTGCTCTCAATTGGAAAAAAGCCCTCCAGGCAGGCATTCTTCTTTGGACTTTGACAGACAAATGGGAACTAATGAGATCCAGTCATGAGCAGTTTCCTCACCTCAGTTAAGCAAAAAGAACAGCAGGCTAAGCAAGATAATCTCTGTGGTTCTTCTTAGTTCTGCTACTCTGCAAACCAACAGAACCTAGAATTCCACGATCAGATTTTTTTTTTTAGAAACCTGAAAATATGTTTTCATGCTGCTCAATTTGTACAAACACAGCTAATCTCAAAATGTTAGGTTACGCTGAGATACAATGATAGAATTTACAGGGTTAGCTATTTTAGCTAGTTCCTTGGAAGCTAAATAATCAGATGATTAAGATTCAAATCCATGCTATAGAGCCTATACCCCTAAAAACACAAAGTGGTTAAAATATTATTTAACCTTCTTAAAAACTAGTAAATTTTGGTAAATCAAATCCAGTCAAACTTTAAGAGTATTCTATTTAAAGCAGTCAGTGCCCTCCATCTCTTCAAGGTCAGGTCATTCTGAGAGGCCCTTTCCTTAGATATATAATATATGCAACATACATAAAACAATTTTCACACAATCTCAGGAGTTCCTGAACCCAAGGAAAAGAAGCCATTATATAAAGGCACATGCAAATAATCCTTTTTTTAAAAAAAATAAAGAGTTATGAAAGCCTGATTTCTCAGTAATATAAATCTGTATTTTTATATATTAGGTTCATTTAGAGTGGGGTCTTCACTTAAAATCCAAATTTTATAGTTTAGATTTTTAAATAAACAGACCCACAGATGGTCATCAACAAGTGCTTAAGATACATCTGTACTTTTCCCAAGAAGTTCTTACCAGTGTGTGTTTTCATGTGTTCGTCGAAGTACTGCTTCATGTTGAAATCCTTGCCACACCACTGGCACATGAACTGTTTGTGCCCAATGTGGATGCTCATGTGGGAGCGCAGCTGGTACTTGTACTGAAACCTTTCGTCACAGTTCTGCATTGGACACAGTGGAGGTTTTTGAATGCCAAGCATAGTAGCCTTACTTGAGCCCACCCTAACTAACACAGTCTCTGAGATTAGGTTTATTTTTCATACTCAGAATAGAACCTGTTTATGTCAACTATTTGGCTCTGCTATATCTATACAGCTGAATTATTAATAAAAGGGAAATTTTCTCATCAAATTATCACTGAGTTATACTCAACTTCTCTGAATCACGAGGAGAGAAAAATAACTCCCTATGTGTTATTCCCAAATGTAATCTAACCTAAGAGAATTAACAACATTAAAAAGGACATCTCTCCACCTAGCAGTGAAATAACACACAAAGCTCAGAGCCCATGTCTGAAGGTTTTGTGGAAATGCAGTCTTGCACCTCGTACTACAGAACACCTCTCTCTCACTGCCTCACCATATACAGAAAAGCTAGCCCCTAGGCACATTCCTTACCTCGCATCTGAAGGGCTTCTCTCCAGAATGCTGCAAGGAGTGCACCTTGAGTGACATACTCCGTTTGAATGATTTTCCACAGGTTTCACATGTAAATGGCATGTCTTTCGTGTGTGCTGCAACATAGAATGCACTTCATAAGTCCACCAAAAGATAAACGTCCTACTGTGAAGCAATTATGCCATCTTAATTTTCTACACTCTAATTTATAAGGCTTTAATATAGGGTTCTGAAAGAAAAATAAATAACAACGTTGAAAAGAAACCTGGGTGTGGAAAACTACACCGTCCAATTTGGTGATGCTTACTGAAGACATGTTGCATTTAGTTTCAACAAGTCAAAACCGATTAATATAAGGCAGTTTCTCATACCCTGCCCAATCAGAGCGTAAAAAGCACACCAAAGAACAAGAGAAAATTAGCAGAAAAAACTTACCAACCATATGTTTTCGTACATGAGCCATTGTATAAAATTTCTTCTCACAAATTTCACAGGAAAATTTCTTCTCTGCATACCCATGGACGATCTTGATATGTTCATGAAGGGACCAGAGTTTCTTGAACGATTTGTTACAGGAAACACACTGAGCAGGATAAACAGAAATAACCTTTATTTATAGGGGCTTGCAGAAAGCCATACCTGCCTACTGGCAGATGGAATGGGTGTGCTTTTGATTCATGACACAGCCAGAACCCAGACAAATGTTATTCCTCCACAGAGTCCGGATTGCAACACCAACATCTATATGTTCTATTTTCCAAGATGCATCTTTTAGAGACACTTTGGGAGCATGATAACAATAGCAAAAACTAAGACAAGGAGAAACAGAAAGTTCCACTAATATCAAAGGATTGACTGCTATTAACAAGTTAGTATTGTACCTATTAAAAGAATTTCACTTTTTTTAATACATGGATTACCAAAAGCAGCTTGTGCCTATACATGGGTCACAATGCAGTTAGTAGGTGTTTACTAGAGAACACAAACTAATTTTAAATTAGTATAAATAAAAACAAAATTTAGTAAAATCTATACTAATGGCTAAAGACCTGTAGAGGTATAAAAATGTTTTTGTACCTTGAAAATGCATTTGGAGTCTTCATTAGCATGGGTAATTGAGATTTTACTACATTTTCTCAAATTTAATTTATTCTATTAAATTCATCTCTGTCAGAATTCAATGTAACCTCTAGACTATTAGTTCCACTCTCCCTTTCCATTACAGCCCAGTTCCAGATCTCTCATCCATGCATCTATAGGAAACACATGCAACTCTGCCTAGTTCCCTGTATCATTAATAGCCTGGGCTATCAGGTATAAAGTATATAAAACAAAACACTTCTGGTTAAAGCAAAACAACCCTAGAAAGTTTTTGGTACTCATCAGACTCTGGGATACTTAAGGGAACAAGTTAGTATTCCCTGTAAATAAAGATCCCTGAACATCACTGTCACTTGGGAAGTAAGAAACCCTGGGAAGAATTAGAAAGGAAAGCCTTAGGTTGGATATTGCTCTAGAAAAGGACAGACTACTCCTAGAAGCCATTTTGTAGGGTAGAGTTTTAACTTTTACTTGTTACCAGGTCATCAGGACTATTAGGATCTCTAGGTAAGAACACAGCATGATGTTTTCTAAGAATGTGAAGAGTTCATTTATCAGAATCCACAAAATTTAAACACAAGTTTAAACGTATTATGGTGAGGAACAGTGAGGAAAGTCCCAAAAGAGGATTTATTAAATCTCTTCTGTAAGTTATTAAAGCAAATGTAAGTAAAAACAGCTATACAGATCAAGAACGCCTTTTCAACAATGAATCATTACGGAACCTAATTTTGACCCCTAGGGTGCAGCACTGCATTCCACTCCCTTTGGCCTGAACCGTGCAGCCAGGCGAGGGCACTGGTAGTTACTGGAGGATACGAGCACCACAACTCAGTCTTCTTTTACTTACCCAACGTGTCAGAGATCAAGTCATAAATGATGAAGTAAAAAGCAGTGAATTTTTAGAAAATGTAATCTATAGTTTTTAAAAATCTCTTTAAAGTAAAGCAGTGATCTCAGCTGTTGATTAAAAGCAATAGAGGAAAAGTAAAACTTAAAAATATTAGGAGCATGCCAAAAAGCAAACCAAAGAAAAAATCACAACTTTTCAAAAAAGTTTAGATCAAAATAGCACAAAATATTTCTTTTATATAGCTTAGGGAGACATTAACAGACTTACCTTTTATGAATCTCATTAATATGCATTCACATGTGCAAACACAATACAGCCGCAATCCACTCAATACAGTATAGTTAGCACACCTCTCAACCTATGACAATATAGTCCTTTCAGGACACCAGCCTGGTTTCAATACCATGTTTTGTTACCTTAACGTACTGTACTGTAGTGTTATGTAACTCTACTGCCAGGTGGGCAACATTTTCAACCAGCTTAGCCTTGTTTAAAGTTTGCACATTCCCATGGGCTCAGCCTCTTGACAAATTTAGTGCTGTCATCTCTCCACTGGTAAAAGCAAACTCACTCCTGGAGATCTTCCACTTCCACCGATCTGAGTCATTACAGTTTTTGTCCCCATCAGATGCACTAGAATCTGGCATCCTTTTAAACCTTGAAAGGGACCTTTCTCTACCCTTGACCCTTACTCAATTTCCCCCACCTTGACAGAGAAGATGTCAGAAAAAATTACATTACATGTCCTAAAAGAGTCCTAAAACAGCAAATCTCAGCGCAAAGAAGGTGTTGACTTTAGCTCCTGGTCAGTCATCTATAACAGATCCCCCTTCCAATGGACCTGGGTTCCCACTAGTCCAGCGTCAGTTAAATTTAATGGTTTTAAAATAAAATAGTAAGACTCAGTTTTGAAAAAGACCAAAGCAGGAGCTTTTGAAAAAATAAACTGGTGAAATCTGTCCCTTCAGCCTCTACTGTATTTATTCTCTTGGGCAGATACCAGATGAGTCTGAACAGCCAGGTTCTATCCTGGAAAGTTTGCCCTCTTGGTGAAGAAACCTACCTGAATATTTTTTTCACAGTCTGTTTGCTGGTGAAGGGACAGCTCACTTTCCAGGACAAACTTCTTGCCACATTTATCACAAATCTGCATGCGCCTATGAGTAACGTTCATGTGCTTCTCCAGGTACCAACGAGTATTAAACACCCTGGGGCACTTCTCACAGGTCAGAGTCTCTTTCTCTTCACACTTAGCTTTCTGGACTGGTGCTTTGGGCTCCTTTGTGGCCCGCTTCTTACGCTTAGGTGGCTCTACACTCTTCCTACGACCTCTTGTAGTTCTGGGAGTAGGGGAAGTGGTAGCTGCAGCAACAGAGGCAGCTCTCCTCCTCCTCCTTTGTGCAACGCTGACTTTCTCCACTATCTTCTCCTTTTTCTTTTGCCTTTCGTTCTCTCCATAGTCACTGCTGTCATCTGTGGCATCTTCCTCACTCTCTTCCTCTTCATCCTCACTGCTTGTCTTAAGAACAGGAGTCTCTTTGGACTGAGAAGAGACACCCTTTTCCCCTTTAGATACATTTAATGTTTGATTATTAAGGTTTACCTCTACTATGATCTGCTCCCTTTTGTAAGAGACTTCTTCATCCTCCTCCTCTTCTGTGTCATCAGAATTCTCCCCATCTTCTTTAACAGCATGCACGTCGGACACTGATCTTGTCTCCCTGAAATATGGCTGTTCCTCTGTTTCATGGAGATGTGGTTTGCTCATCTTGGTGTCCACTAACACAGAATAAGGACTTCCTGATTCCCTTTTGTACACTTTGGTGGACAGGTCAAGTTCTTGGTTGGCACCATGATAAAAGGTAGATGGCACTTGACCACGACGACTATCTTCTTGTGCCATCCCTGCTACATGCACAGCACAATTTTCAACCAGCTCTTGACAAGAACTGGCCACGTGGCTCATCGGTAAGTGGCCCAATTTATTAAGCAGTTCAGACTATAAAGAAATAGCTTTAAAACAGGGTAACTATTACGATTCCAATCTTTTTCCATCCATAAAGCATCACTCAAATTAAAAAAGATCTTCCTGGAACCTGTGTGCAATTCTTCCAGTGTTGCAGCACCAAAGCATAAGTCAAAAGATTTGGTATTATGGCAAGAGCAGAGCACTAGTGATTTTTCTTCTGAAGAGAGATGCGAACGGCTTGGAGCATCTTATCTACAAAGGGAAAAAGCAAAGATGAAAAACAAATCAGATACCACTATTTCCTTCTTATAGAATGTAGTTAAATCATACAGCAGACGTAGCTCAAAATTATTAAACTTTACATATAATGCTTTGTACTGCTAAAATGGCTCAGTATGGGCCATTATTTTACTAGGTTACATGACTTCAACAAACATTAGAATGTAAATTCTGTAAACAGCAAGAGTCACATCTGTCCAGTTCACGAAGCTATCCTCAGAGCTTAGCACAGTGCCTAGCACATAGTAGGTGTTCAGTAAATATCTGATGACTAAATGAATACGTACTATCGCACAGCATTCATTAGCTTCGATGCTATGGGACATATTAATATGGCAGAATACATGGTCTCTGTCCACAAGGAGTTTACAGTCCAATTATACAACAAATATGAGTCCTGCATAAAACACACTAAGGCTTTACACTGTCTGGCTTTCTTTTCGATATTAATCGCAACCATCCACCACAGTGAAAGAAAGAGAACAAAGGTGTTGTGGGCTAGGCACTGTGGACCAGAGAAATAAACCAGCTAATCGACATAATTAGAGAAGAGAAAGAAAATGTCTCTGGTTTTAAATAATTTATAATCTAGGTATAGATATTTTTTTTTTTAAATATTTTATTGTACTTCAGGTGAAGGCTTACAGAACAGATAGTTTCTCATGTAACAGTAACACACATGCTGTTTTATGACATTGGTTAACAA